GGTGCTTTCAAGCAGTCAGTTGCTAATGGTTTGTGTTGGTCCAAAGGTTTACTGATGTTAATCACGCTGGTTTTGCTAGACCTTTATTGTATTTGCTATAATTTCCTTAAGACCGTGCAGTTGCACAAAGCTGAGCTGAATCTAAAAACAAGTTGGACACAAGTCATCTGACTGTAATGACTTCATTACATTTAAGTCTCTCAACTGCAAAGTGTGTGCTGCTACAGCTAAATCCAAGCTCAAAAAAATAAGTTCAAGCCAAAAGAAGTCCAGCCAAAATGTGGAAAGTCTTTAGGCCTCATGTTTCTGAGGCGGTCGGAGGCCTATGGCCTGCTAATAGCAATGGCAATACTGCCTTTATAGGGCTACAAATTGTGTGTGTGTGTGTGCGTGTGAGAACTCTCACACGCTAGAGAGGGGGGAGCAGAAGCTGACCTTCGTGTGAGAAATCTCACGCAACACGCATGCTAGAGAGGGGGGAGCAGAAGCTGACCTTTCAGGTTGGCTTGCTGAATGATAGTAGCCAAAGATGGAATTAGTCTGCTTGCAAAGCTGTAAGCTGTTACAGTTTTGATGGAAGTACTGGCATCTCTTCATAATGGCCAGTCTGTAGTAAAACACAAGCGAAGGACAGCTGCTCCTGTGTGGTCATCTGGTCTGCGGCAGCTCCTGCAAAACAAGCCTTCTGATCGCTGCCTGGTGCCATGTGTAATTTTGACATGCACTTGAAAGGATGTTCTTAAGCTCTTAAAATCTTACACTGGAAAATGGAAGCCACAATGAAAGACGTTCTTCAGTGTTGAGTCATCTTCTGGTGATGAGGTGTGGAGGTTTTCTCGTTGTGTTTACAGTAGCCTCCTTGTGAGCTGACGTGGCTTATTACACTAGGGGCCTCTGATCCAAACTGTGGCAGTTTGGCAAAATGGAAAGATAATCTCTGCAAGCTGTTTGAATCTGGTATGATAGGGCAGAGGTTCTTCAGAGGCCATGGGTTGGGTGATTTTTTTTTTTGTTTGGTTTGGGGTTTTTTGTTTTTGTTTTGGGTTGGGTTTTTTTCCTAATCTTGCTGTTGGAGGACGTTAATGTCTGCAAAACTGAAATTCTGGATTTCTGGGAAATGCTATTTATAGTCTTTTGAGGTTAGATCTGGACCAAAGTCTACCGGAGAACCTCAAGAATGATATACAGTAAATCTTCAGATTGTCTGTCTTTGTAAGGATCAAAAAAGACTCAGTTTTTCTGTCTTGCTTTATTTTATTCAGGTAATGTTTGAAATATTCAGTTTAGCTGAAGCTGTGACAAATCTGCCACTCTGCTGTATGAAGTGTAGCAAAAGTATAGGGAGTCATGTTTATAAAACTCAAGTCTGTCCTTTCATGAGAGCAGCTGCTTGGTCTAGTCTACTCCAGGGTGTTTAATAACAAATTAGAAGTACTGGCGATACCAACCACAATACACAAACAAAACTTAGTCTTTCTTTCCTGTGCCTTGATCCTAGATCTTTCACAGTCCTGAGTCTAGGACTTTGTTGTTTTGTTACTCCTCTATGAGAGGTATTGATTTATGTTCCTATCAGAGGCATAGCTTATTAAAAAAAAAAAAAAAAATTGCTCACAAAATTTTCTCATTTAGGTGTGTAGGGAAACACTCCTGGTATAGGTAAGTTAATAAGCCTCTTGGCATATTGGAACAGTCACTAACAGGTGAAAACTGCCCTGGTTTTTCACACAATGAAACTATTTTGGTTTTAAGTCTTGAAATTGTGCTTTGGGTGATTTCTCCAAATGTTACAAATAGATAATTTGTGTATAATTTTCAGTCTAAAATTCTGTCTGCAGCTTTGATTAGGTTCCCCAGTGTGTTTGGAGTTCTCTGTCTACGTCTAATCTCTGTATCATTTATAAGGAATGTTCTTATCTCACTATTATCTAGAACTTAGTAAAAGTGTGAAGCTTCAAGACGTGCCCCTTTGCCTGTCCCCTTTTTTCCCTGTTCCCCAGTACAGGCTTTCATTGATTGCTTTTGGGAGAGCGGGTATAAAAATTTCCATTTGCTGGTCTCTTAGGTTACAGGGAAAGACAATTATGATCTCGTGTCTTCCCAGTACTTTCTCAGTTAACGTGCTACCTCTCATGTTTAGAACTTTCCTAAGTGTTTCCTAGAAAAATCATTACAGTCCTTCATGACTGTACCAAATACTAGGACTTCAGTCTATTGTCAAAACGATTAGAGAGCAATGTTTTTTCATAACACTCCTGTATAGGTAAGTTAATAAGCCTCTTGGCATATTGGAACAGTCACTAACAGGTGAAAACTGCCCTGGTTTTTCACACAATGAAACTATTTTGGTTTTAAGTCTTGAAATTGTGCTTTGGGTGATTTCTCCAAATGTTACAAATAGATAATTTGTGTATAATTTTCAGTCTAAAATTCTGTCTGCAGCTTTGATTAGGTTCCCCAGTGTGTTTGGAGTTCTCTGTCTACGTCTAATCTCTGTATCATTTATAAGGAATGTTCTTATCTCACTATTATCTAGAACTTAGTAAAAGTGTGAAGCTTCAAGACGTGCCCCTTTGCCTGTCCCCTTTTTTCCCTGTTCCCCAGTACAGGCTTTCATTGATTGCTTTTGGGAGAGCGGGTATAAAAATTTCCATTTGCTGGTCTCTTAGGTTACAGGGAAAGACAATTATGATCTCGTGTCTTCCCAGTACTTTCTCAGTTAACGTGCTACCTCTCATGTTTAGAACTTTCCTAAGTGTTTCCTAGAAAAATCATTACAGTCCTTCATGACTGTACCAAATACTAGGACTTCAGTCTATTGTCAAAACGATTAGAGAGCAATGTTTTTTCATTCAGAGTTGAGATCTGTAACAGGTGCAGGCTGTTTCATCTCCTTCACTAAGTTCCCAACCTTAATTCATAAACTGTATTTTCTGTCTTTCCCATCAGTGTTATTTACCTCTTAATACTTGTACCTGTAATTTCATATGTAGTACTAACTGTTTTCTTCTACTACATCTGAAATTGCTTTATTTCTTAGTGTTAGCATTCCTTTCTTGTGACTTACCCTGCTGTGTTTCCGTTAAGTCCCCCGCAGTCTCCTCCTTGAATAATTGATTCTAGCTGAGTCTGTTTATTTCCCATCACCCTGGCATTAATATAAAAGCAGTTGTGAGATGGTTTATTCCCTTTCTTTCATGGTAAATAGTTTTGTTTTCTTCTTTCTTTGCTCCTCCTCCCCCTTTTCTTCTTACTATCTGCAAGCCTGGCATTTCAGTTCTTGACTTACAGTCGTCTTTTTGTCAAAAAGTGACTCGTGTATCCACTCCAGGCTGTTTTTTCTTATGCCAGCTCTGAAGACAGAAGATTGGATGTCTGAAGGGAAGTAGTGGCTAGTCAAGAGCACATGTGTGCTCTGTGAGGACTGTGCTCCATGGATGAAGTCTCTAGACTTCTCCTTCCAGTTGATTAAAGGAATGACAAACTTACTATGCATAGTGGCATAGAAAATTAAGGTGAGGTTTAGCAGATCACATGTGGACTTTCTGATTTGTTTGAACTTCTCTGGGGAGAGTGAAAGAAGGTGTGATTCATGTGGACAGTTATGCAGTCAGTTTAAGAGATGACCTCTTTGCAGACATTCAGTACTCAAAGTGCTGTTAATCCTTACGTTTGTTTCTGGAGTTGGTGGCAAGATAGGAAATGGAAGCTGTCAGCTGTTGAGCTTTTGATCATTTTGAGCTGATGGAACCAGGTACCAGTGATCTTCACAGCACATAATACATCTTTTCCTGGAGACTTATCTAGAAAGAAATGTGCATTGAAAAGGTGTAACCGGAAAAGGTAATCTCATAAATGTTGTGGCAATTACTAAAACTCATAGTGCATCTCCATTATTCTTCTGGATAGCTCAAAATGTAATAGGCAGACCACACAGAAGTTGATGAGTGGGTTTTTTGGGGTTGGTTTGGTGTGTTTTGGGTTTTGTGTGGTTTTTTTTTTTAAATTTTTTTTATTCAGAAAGTAATGGCAAATGAGAGAGGAAGGGTTCCTTGAAGAAGTAACATTTTGGACATTTCTAAGGGGAATAGTCGGTGGCAGTGTATGGAGATGCACATCTGAGAAAGGGAACCCAAAAAGAAAGGGAACCCTGAGAAGGGAACCCAAAGGTGGTTAAAAAAAGGGAGTGAAAATAGAAAGACATTAGATCAAATATAGATGTGTAGAACGTGGACAAGGACTCTAATGGCAGGAAAAAATTACTACAAACAAAAATTGAAACTAGTGGAGAGTAACGTGGTTAACTGGAGGAGGCAAAAGTGAGATACGTTACGAAGTAATTTGGAGCAGGTGGGAGGTGGGGGGGGAAAATGAAGAGCAGAGATGTCTAACTGTAAAAGGTTGTAAAAGTCAAGGTGACGGATGAGGGCTTAGAAAAAAGTGCTCTCGTAAACAAATTGCAGAACCCCAATCACTTCTTTGCTTGCTGAAGGGAAAGAAATGGGAGAGAAAGAATCGGAGGTGACAATGAAGTTTTGATCCTGAGAGAGAGAGTAAAAGTGTATGCATTATTTAGAATAGAAAAAGATGACTGTAGCAAGAGACTAGGGAAAAAAGGTATGCTCAGTACTAGAAAGAATCAGTTTGTGATAATGGTGTGGCAGGAATGGGAGAGGAAGCTGATATTTGGATTAAAACCAGCTTGAAGGAAACGTGCCAAATTATTGCTGTGTGTTTGAACAGATAGGCGGAAGTGGCCATTAAGTCATTGGAAAACTCGTTCTTACAATGGACTTATTTCCTATGAGGGGGCTAAAAGAATCTATACAGCAGTGAATCAGTACATCAGAGCAGTAGGAATATTTCTTACTGCAATGTTATGTCTTGCCATGAAAAGCATAACTCAAGTTGCTTTATGGATGCTATGAAATAATGATAACGATCACTCAATTTGCTGTATTTTAATCACTTAATAAAAATGTCTTCTCTCTTGTGCATAGATATTTGATTTAATGGATGCCAAAGCCCGTGCTGACTGCATCAAAGAAATAGATCTTCTTAAGGTAAAAGATTTGTTTAAAAAATGTGCAGCCATCGTCAAAGTGTATTAAGTTTTTCATAGATATACTTGAGGTGTCCACTGTTGTCTGTGTAGAGTTTTTTATAAGCCTCACTTAAGGAATTTTGTAATATTTATTGCTTTAAAAATTAACATTGAGAAGTAAATCCTATAGAAAAATGGGTAACTTTTCAAGTAGAAGTTTCTGCTAAAACCACAGTATTGTAAATAACTGTCCTGTGTACAGTAAAATACTGATTTTAAAAATTGACTTTGCTGTTTCAGATAAGTTTAGCATGCTATTGCATAGATACATTGAAGCAAAATTCCTCTAAAATTGCAATGTCAGTCATCATGTTGATCCTATAAGGCCATCAAGTTCTTACAAAATATTTATCTGTAAAAGCTTCTCATAAGCATATACTTTTTGTATCATCCTGAAATAGATTTTAGGGTTTTGTTTGCCTAAATAAGAATGTTTCATTTGTCAGTCTTAAAAGATAAGATGTGCTCTACACTAAAATGTGCATTATTATTCTGCTTTCTTAGCAACTGAATCATCCAAATGTAATTAAATATTATGCCTCATTCATTGAAGACAATGAACTGAATATAGTGTTGGAATTAGCTGATGCTGGAGACCTCTCTAGAATGATAAAGGTAGGAATTAACTTTTTTAAAAAAATTAAAAGCTTGTAACGTTCAACTTCTTGGCTCTTCATTCTGCATGCTCATCACTGGGTGAAATGCAGTGAAAATGTCAGGAACTGTGGAGAAAAGTGGAGTGTTTAAACTGACTTTTTTATGTATACCCAATATTGATGCTTATGTAAGTATTTTTGACACTGTTGCCCAGAATGTAAGTGCAGATGGGGACATAACTAGACTGAAATTATATTAGCGCTGGGGAGAAGAAAAAAAAAAAAAAAGAAAAGCACTGTCACCACCATTTAGAACAATACATTTTGACGGCATTCCTGATTTTTGGCACAACTGTGTTTTGTGTTCCAATATTCTATTCTCTGTAATAGTAGTGAAAGCAGAGGAGGGCTGGCGTCATAAGGCAGAAGTAGTTTCTTCTAGATCTTGAACTTCAACTGCTAACCACTTTAGCAAACAAAATAAAGATTAAAATGGAAATAACTGCATTGTTTCATAGGTCTAGTTAAATACCTCTTTATCTTGGGACTAACAGATATTCTGAAAATGTATTTCATATTTGCTTGAAATCACATGCAGTGAACTTACTGATATGTGGTGGTGCATTTTGGGTTAATTGCTTTCTTCTGTAGTTTTTAAATGCCTGTTCTTCAGCTAATCAGAAAAAATTTATCCAAGACCCTTTGTATAAACTTTGTATTCTGAAACTTAGGTGAACTTTTAACTAGCTTTTTTAAATCTTTGTTTGTCATCTGACCACTACTTCCCCTCTTTTCCTACCCCTTTTCCACTGGGTCTTGATTTTAGTATGTCCCTTTGGTGTACTTTCGTGTGTGCACACCAATGTTGTTGTTGTCAACACAGGATAACTCTGGGAACAAATAATGCCAGTCAATTAGCATTTGCTCAGCAACAGCTAGGCACAGAACAGAGTTCTGCTGTTTTGCTTAGGACCTACATGAATAGAGAATGTTAATTTCTTCATTAATGACTTTCATACTGATTTTTTTTTTTTTTGAGCTTTTGAAGAATATTCCCTTCTAGATTGATAATTGTAAGGTAGGACAGTCAAAATTTCGGTTCTAAACAGGTTGACAGCGTTCTGTTAATATTTATATCCAAATCTGATATTTTTCTTCACCTTATGAATTATTAATTCTGTGGGCTTACATTTCATAAAACATAAAGGAAGGTTTGTCTTTTCTTTTGAATGTTCAGTTTTGACACAACAGTTATTAATATGAGTAGTGTGTGACAGATTGCCTTATGGCATGTCTGGTCTTATGACCCATTGAAGCTTTTTCTTTTTCCCCTGCTTTTTTTTTCCTTTTTTTTTTTCCCCCCCCCCTCCCTTCTCATTTTTAAACCCAATGTGTGTATAATGGCTTCTTCAGTGCAGTTGGCCTCATTACACCTTGTCCAAGTCGGTGGGTATTTCTTACAGGCTCGATCCTGGAGGCACTTTGTGATTGTCCTCTTAACACAGGGATCATGTTTAATGTAGCAAACTTAGATTGCTGTTTGATGTTAATGACAGCCTATCAGGCTATTATTAAATATGTATGAGGTGTCACAATGCACTCCGTCTTTATGCTGCTGGTGGAGGAAATGATTTGGTAGTCTACTTGGATGGTATGGGTTTAAATGTGGGGCATATCAGTTATATAGCATCTTCTTAAAGAAGTATTTTAAAAATTGCCTGAAAAGTAAATGATATGTAATGGTATGGAAACTTCCTAGCAGAATGGCTGCCTGTCACACTACTAAGGTAAATAACAATGTTGTGTTATTAAAACAAACAAACCATGCTTTGGTTTCCAGTGTTCTTGCTAGAATGCTGTGTTCTAAGTTTGTTGGAAGCTGTTGAGGCACCCCCAGAAGGGTGTTTGGGTACCAGGCTTGTTGTGTGATTTATAGAAGGATCAAGCGTGTTTTTGAAATTGTAAATGACCACAGCTTGAATGACACTGAAACCAATGTTAATGTGAGGGAAAACTACTTAACTAGTTTACTTGGGTATTTGTTATGACATTATTGACACATCAGAGAATTCTTGCAAAGCTGCTGTGTCTCACAGTGCACCTTAATGAATTCTTTAGTTCTTCCCTTAATGAACCACATCCTTGCTGCCCAGCTTTTACACCATCCCTCTTGTTACCTGTGAATAATACTCTCTTTGTCCCCATTGAGAGGACAACTGAGGAAAATCACTTGGTGCATTCATATGGATTCTAATAGAATTCATAGAATCTGCTGTATGTCTGGGGTGGGGGGGAAGCAGCTGTGCATTGGCATTTACAAACTGCATAATGAAATCAGGGGTATCTTGTGTTTTCTCTGTCTCTCTGTGTGTTTATGTATGTACATACACAGATTTAATCCACTTTACCTTATTTTTTTTTTTAATTACCTCTGTCACAGGGAGATGTTTCAGTACAGCCTCCATCCTCAAAAAGTAGGAGGATCCAAAATGGAGGATTTCTTATCTTACAGCTTTTAATGGCCTGGTAGAATTCTTGGACGTGGCATGTCAGTAATACTGAGAGGCAAACATTATCAGTGAGGGGGAAATACTTGCATTTGACTCACAGTTGGTTTTGCACTAGAATATGTACCTCAATGCTGTGTAACCCCTGTGTAGGGATGGTGAAAGAAGGAAAAATTCTTGATTTTCTGTATTGGTGAATTAGGCTGCTGGATACTGTTACATCAAAGATTTTTACAAGTAAATAATTAGTAACTGTGGTGCTAGTTCCCAGTTGCTCATGGTCTGTTTGTTGGTGTCTGTGGTCTCTACTATGGAATGTGGTAATAATACATGGCTACCTTGTAATACCACCTCCTTTTGCAATACAAAAGTATGTTGTAAAGCAGGTTTGAGGCTTGATCCCTTTTCCTATTAATCATGGTTCTCTTCCACCACAGACAGTGACAGGGAGAAAATTGTTCTGAGGACTTTTTTGTTGGTCTGGGATTTTTAGTGGGTTTTTTTTAAAAAAAAAAAAACAAACAGCAATTGATATATTGGATAAAGAAGAACCTACTAATTGCATTAATCAAGAAAATACATTATAATGATTCAGTAAAAAGAACTAGTTAGTAAAGTCTGTGCTGAAGATAGTTCAAATTCTCTTGTTTCAGTATCTTGCAGAATAATTAGTATATTATTTAAGATTAAATATGAAGTTAGTAGAAAGGCTTGTAAGAAGGTTTGTTATCAAGACACTTTTTTTTTTTAAATCAGCAATGAACTTCTAGGTCTGTTTCATTTCTGCAGGTATTTTTAGTTTTTCTGGCAAATAATCTTAGCACACCAAAAAAAAAAGCAAACTTTAAACTGAATATGTCATACAGATCTTAAGGAAGTTAATCATGTTTTGGGAACAAGCATGAAAGCTTTCATCTAAAAAGTTGAAAATATGTTTGCAGCTTTCTCAAGATAGATGGAAAATAATTTGAATTCTACAAAATGTCACCTAGGCACTTCACCCACTCTTCAGAGAACACTTTTTGTGTGTATTTTTTTTCAACTTTAAATTAAAAAAAAATAAACAAACTATAATTAGCTAGGTAAAATAAGACAAATATTTTAAAACTTCTCATCAGTATGAAGTTCATATTAGTATCTCAGGTTTCTGTAGTCAGGAACAGTGAATTCTTTGTCCTTAAACATACTTGTGTTTTATAGGACAGTCAAAATACAGTGATAGTCACTTCTTTCCAAGCAACTGATGCATATCTAAATTGCTCGTTGCAGTAGCTGGAGCTCTGTTTAAACTTGTTTGAAATCTCATCGATTATCATTCTGATGTTTCACCAGTGGTGGATATTTTGGGCTTCACTGTGTGAAATTGCATCAGGCAATTTCTCTTCTCCACATGGTCTGGGATGCAGACCCTCCCTCCTCTCCCCATGCCAAAATATATTAGCAATGAGGTTTTTTGGAACTTATTTGCAGTACTCCGGGGTTGACTAACTTGCCTGTGCTGCATTATAGGAAGCTTGCTGTTTTTAAGGGCTTAAAGAGTGGAAGCAATTTTAGCTTTGGTCATTGGCAGCTTTGCCAGCCCGGAGTGCTGCTCCTGCCTGTGTAAAGCAACCACGACTCTGTTGCGGTATCCGCATGACTGCAGTCTGAGCGTGTTATAGTGTGAGGTGGCTACAGGGTGAGATGACAGCCTTCGGGGATTTATAGAGATGTTGTAATGGCAGTGGATTTGGAAGGAACATAGGGGCACGGGTAGTTACTACAGTCTGCCTTAAGTGTTCGGTGGTGTCTGTGAGGCTGGACGGCACTGAGTGGAGGGTTATTCACAGCATTCTGAACTTGGGTGGTGATCAGATGCAGGTCAGGAACTTCTGCGTGAGTTGCTTTTGTGGACTTAGCAGTGCATCTTGCCCCACTGATCTTTGCAGCGTGGCAGAGAGTTGAGGGGGCACGTACTGCTACAGAAGCTGATTACTTTTTCTGTCTGCAAACTAGTTGCCCTGGATTGCTGGATGGCTAGTAGCCCATGATTAACCATTCTCACTGCAGTGAACCTGGTTATGTTGCTGAGAATGGAAACTTGGCACTTGTTTTATCAAACTGTTTTCTGGTGGATTGCTGTCCTGGGAATGTGCTAGACAGTGGGGTTATCTGATGAATGTTGATAGCACATGTTAGCTATAGTTTGACTCTGTTTAATTGCAAGAGTGATAATTTTCTTTTGCTGTGATAATTGGAAGATTTTTGGGAGTATGAAGTTAGGGAAGCACCTGTGTAAGGAAGAGGTGCAGTGTCAGAATTTAGCAGGTCAGGTGTTTACCCCTTCCCGGGGCATGACCCAGTGTTTTGGGAAACCCTCAGCTATTAACTGACTATATTGTTTGGCTATCTCTTCATCATAAAAAACATTGATTTACAACTTCAGCAGTTGTAGGAGGTATGTTTGGAAGGCTGTTGGGACAATGATGATGTCTCCAATGTAGTTTGAATGGCAGTGTTGTGGAAGCTGTAT